CCCCCCCCCCCCCCCGGGCAGCCAACCCAAAATCGACTATTTTACATAATTTTGGATTGTAATATGATTCGATAAATCTTAGGAATAGCTTTCGTTTAAAAAAAATCCACAAAAAAATGTTACTCGTACAGGACGTTATTAAGCAAAAACAATTTTGCCATCTTAATTATTCTAATTAGCCGCTGACAACTCTTGTCATCACGTTGTCAAATAAGGAGAGGTTACGTGACAGCTAAGCACATATGTATTTGTGTTTCACTAAACACACGCGATTCGCGATTCTTGGAAGCTCTCAAAGTTGCTGTCTTGTGAAATCTTGTCAAATCTTGTGAAAAAGAAAAAAAGATCATGTCCCTTTTCTTCGTCAAAGCTAAGACCAAAGAAAGGGAAGAAAGCATTTAGCTGTGAATCGGCAGCAGACCTCGCTTCAAGCGACAAAGGTTCTTTCTTCAACCAAGACGAATGGCTTCAAGAAATCTAAGAACATGAATGCAAACCGGATACGAGTGAAAAGCAGTCGGTTGAAATGAGTGCAAGTCATTCTAAAATTTGATTAGAAGAAGCCGAAGAAGAACAAGAAGATGTTGGATCGTGCGTAAAGTTGAATGGTCGAACCATTGTTTCTGGAGAAAACCTGCAAGAAAAGCTTCGTGAGTCAGTTTCATGTCAATTCTGTCACAGGGACATTGAACTGCAGGAGAATGCCGGCACCGGACTGTTAGCTGCTGCCTCTGCTGCATCTTTACAAACCTAGCTATAATCAAAGATAAAGTCATTAAGATGTTTTCATTGCTGCATGCAATCTGAACTATTTGAGAAGTCAGTCAAATGATTCGGCATTTACTAACCTCAAGGAATAAATTGTTGGGCCGGTCTTGGAAGCGGCTTTTTATCAATGAGATAGTTTCCCACCACCACGAAAATTTGTCTGTTTCTTGTTACCTGTCAAACTACTATTGTTCAAGAAAACTGATACTTTCTTTTATCGATCAACACTTTATTTGCTTGATGCCTAGGTGTCACTAATCTCATTGTGGTTGAAATTCTATTTTTTCTTGTTTCTCGATATGAAAATTTGGGCGAGTTGTGCATGCATTTTGAACTCCAACTCGGCAGCCCCTGGACCAATTTGGCTGAAATTTGGCCAAATTGTTGTCAGATAGCTTACCTACAAAACCATGTCTGCGAATTTTAATTCTTCTTTTCATTTCAAAGTTATAGCCTATTTTCCACTGGTGGTGGCAATAATTTCTCATCCCCGAATATATTTGCTTGTAAAAATAAAACAAACGCACATTCCAGAAATCTGACACACATTTTTTTAGGCAAACATGTAAAGAAATGAAAGCCGTATTAATCGTTTTCTTCTGCTTGTTTTTGGTGAGTGTGGAACTTAATGAATGAAAACACTTAGCTTTGGAAAAACCTCCTCATATTTTAAGCGCATTAAAGTTTTATACCTTTTAAAGGGAATTAGCTATAATCGTGATTATAAAGCTTTCAAAAAATATACGGTTTATAGGGGTTTGTGTTGAAACAAAGAGCACTAGAACAATCCACGCGCATACGGCTCCGGTGGGTTGGCTGATACCTTAAACAAGCTCAACCAATTTTTCTGGCCTGTTCACCCTCAATGTTAACCAAAGTCTTGGTTTCCTAGTGGAATTAGGCCAATTATAAGCTCTCTTTCAGCTGGTAAAGTTAGCCAGCAGCCAGCTCTTAGGTATATCCCTGTCTCTGAATATTGTTATAGTGAGTTTCCCACACTGGCCATTAACACAGCAAATACACTGCAACATATTTTTTACCACTCAGTTACAGGTTTTGATGATCTCTCATTACAAGACAATTACAAGACAGTCATTATGTGCAGAAAACTAATATGTAATCATCACAGGCCTGCAATGCACGAAGTGGGTTAGGCCAACTAGCACCATAGGACTGCAATGCGTGCACAAGGCTATATATTCCAACATTGTAGGATATGATGCAGGACTATCATAAGGCTGTGATTCCATTATAAGCCTTCAATGCATGCAGAGGGCTAGATAATCTAGCATGATTATAGACCTTCAGTACAATGTGTGCAGAGGGACAAACTAGTATCCTAAGCCTGTAATAGTAATGCAGAGGGCTTTGTAATTTATTGACCTTAACTTTGGACTGCACAACTCTATACACAGGACCATACATCTAAAAGACAGTCACAAGTCCATATGAAGAAATGGTTGGAAACCAGTTGACATGAAAAGAACTTACAGTTGGATATATTTTGTTCAAAATTGACCTAATGACATGCCATGTTATTCTCATTTCAGCAGATTGCATTTCCAGGGTGGAAGAGACATACCTGAAATACATGAGAGCATCACCCATTTTAATTTGCATGGGAACCAAAATAAACAAAAGCCCCATGCCAGCAAGAGATGAGGCACCAATCTCTCTCCACAGAAGTCCAAGTACAGCAAGTGCTTCTACTGGCCCAAGTATCAGGTAGTGGAGGAAGAAACAAGCCTAATCAAAGTAAAACCAAACATACTAATACAGATCACCTGTCATTCTCATCGCAATGATCAACAGGAAAATGATCAGAAACCACAACATGCTGCATACCCAGTCAAACTTCTGAGTGTCAGAAGAAACCAGGTTTACAATGTTGCCAGTGGTTGTACTTGCCAGTGCTGCACTGCTTAGTCTCAACACCTAGGATTGCAAAGAAAGGCAAGTTAAAATGTCATTATATCTATTATTTAACTATTAAATTTATTTATTCATTTAATATGTAACTACTTATTAGAGTGTTCCCAATTAGCTCTATTTTAAAGCTTAATGTTATAGACACTCAAATAAAGTTGATGTTGTTGATGTTGTTGTTATGTTGTCATATGTCATACAATATTAAGTATACTCACCTGGTTGAGGATTGTGGCAGTCTAAGATCTAAAACTATTGCAGCTCTTAAATAACAAAACATAATCACTGCGGTGGAATGGAACGTGGACACAAATATAGATTTGCTTAAAGTCTTATTTTAATCGCCATGTGCTTGGCCTGACAAGAGATTACATGATGCATGGGGCGCACATGCCCGTATATGATGTGTCACGCTGGACATACCGTGACATCCCCCTCTTTCTGAAAAGAGGTCCTAGTTACATGCAGATAAATCGATAAAAGGGGACATGATAATCAATGCTAATCAAATTAATCAAACGTCTATCAAACAACAACAGGAACTAAGAACAGTTTCATGGGTGTAAATAGRAACCCAATRTCAATAAAAGAGTTTTTTGTTTGTCCCTATTTAATCYTTGAACTTGGTTGGGAYRCGGGTGATGCGTCCAGTCCTTGTAACTTGGCTCTTTGGGTGATAACAGGTTCCTTCACTGGTTACAACAGCACCTGCTGGCTCGAGATCAATTTGCCTCTTGCTGCACAGTAGTTGGAGAAATAGTGACTGATCTGGTGTTGGTGTACTGTCTTGAGGACTGGCTTCTGACAACGGGGGTGGTCTGGTCACCTTGTCATTGGGTATGTGTGCGTCTTTGGGGTCGTCGTAGGTGGAGTGTTACTGCCAGCTGAGGGGGGGTATTTCACTCTGGCTCCTTGGTCTCAGGTGCTCCCTCGTTCTCTGGTAGATCTTCCCTTGAATGTCTACCATGTAGGTTCGGGGGCGCTCCATTGGCTGTGGCCTATTTAGCACAGTTCCTGGCTGCCAGGTATTCTTCAAGGTGTTCCAGACGAACACTAGTTCTTGGTTGTTAAGGGCCTTCTTGTCGCTACCAGCCTTCCTGTCATAGAATACTGCTTGCCTCTCTTGGCATTTCTGGTTAGCTTCATGGTGGAGGTCATCATTCGGGTGTTTGGACTTCAGTGC